TTCGATATAATAATCTTAGAGGAGTGTATACATTATTAGAAGTACTTTGTAAGAACACTACGCTAAAAATTTTTTATCTTCGAAACTATAATCTTGAAGGAGAAGAAGCATTAGTAGATTCACTTTGTAAAAACACTATGCTAACTTCTTTAGATCTTCGTTCGAGTGGACTTGGGCCAGAAGATGGAAAAGCATTAGCAGATGTACTTTGCAAGAACTCCACGCTGACTTCTTTGAATATTCAGAATAACAAACTTGGAGCAGAAGGAGGAAAAGCATTGGCATATGCACTTTGCAAAAACTCCACACTAATTTCTTTGAATCTTGAATATAATGATCTTGGATCAGAAGGAGGAAAAGCATTAGCAGATGCACTTTGCAAGAATTTCGTGCTGACTTCTTTGAAGCTTCAGGATAATAATATTGGTTCAGAAGGAGGAAAAGCATTAGCAGATACACTTTGCAAGAACTCTACGCTGACGTTTTTGGATCTTGGACGTAATTATCTTAGATCAGAAGGAGGAAAATCATTAGCAGATGCACTTTGCAAGAACACCACGCTGATTTCTTTGATTCTTCGGGATAATAATCTTGGATCAGGTGGAGGAAAAGCATTAGCAGATGCACTTTGCAAGAACTCTACGCTGACTTCTTTAAATCTTGAATGTAATTGGTTTAGATCGGAAGAAGGAAAAGCATTAGCAGATGCGCTTTGCAAGAACACCACGCTGACTTTTTTGAATCTTCGGGATAATCTTCTTGGATCAGAAGGAGGAAAAGCATTAGCAAATGCACTTGACAAGAACTCTACGCTGACTTCATTGGATCTTCAGGATAATAAGATTGGATTATATGGGGGATACGCATTAGCAGATGCGCTTTGCAAAAACTCGACGTTGACTTCTTTGAATCTTCAATATAATTATCTTGGACCAGAAGTGGGAAAAGCATTAGCAGATGCACTTTGCAAAAACTCTACACTAATTTCTTTAAATCTTGAAAATAATGATCTTGGATCAGAAGGAGGAAAAGCATTAGCAAATGCACTTTGCAAGAACTCCGCGCTGACTTCTTTGAAACTTCAGGGTAATAATCTTGGTTCAGAAGGAGGAAAAGCATTGGCAGATGCACTTTGCAAGAACTCTACGCTGACGTTTTTGGGTCTTGGGTGTAATTATCTTAGGTCAGAAGGAGGAAAAGCATTAGCAGATGCACTTTACAAGAACTCCACGCTGATTTCTTTGGATCTTTGGGATAATAATCTTGAATCAGGAGGTAAAGCACTGGCAGATGCACTCTGTACGAATTCTGCGCTAAAATCTTTAGATATTACTGGTAATGATCTTGGATCAGAAGGAGGAAAAGCATTAGCAAATGCACTTTGCAAGAACTCCACGCTGAAATATTTGAACATTCGATATAATAATATTGGACCAGAAGGAGGAAAAACAATAGCAAATGCACTTTACAAAAATACTACGCTGGCATCTTTAAATCTTAGTTACAATAAACTTGGATCGGAAGTAGGAAAAGCAATAACAGGTGCACTTTGCAAGAACTCCACATTAATTTCTTTGAATCTTGAATGTAATAATCTTGGATAAAAAGAGGGGAAAGTATTGGCTGATGCACTTTACAAGAACTCCACGCTGACTTCTTTGTATATGTATTAATTTCAAATTAAAATCAAACAATCTTAGTTCAATTTATTAAATTAGATTAAGACAGCATAAGAATGAAATAATTATAGATTGTAATTAACATACTATTATTGTAATTAGCGCATTAATTAATGTATTAAAAAATAAATAGCAGTTAATTAAGATTAATAATAAATACTTAATGTTTATTTATTTAACCCAAATTCCTAAATGATAACAATAACCAACTTGATATATTCCATTGGAATTATTATATTGGCAGATTTTGATAGTGAATAAATGCTTTGTTTTTATTCCATTTCCATATTCATATAATAACCAAGCCAGTATATTTTCTTGGTTTGAATAACATGATTAATTTAGTGTTCCGGTCCTATCTTTGACAGGTCATCTGGATTCTTTTGAATCCGTACCAGATTAGATATAAAGTAATCCTTATGTCCATTACTTAAGCTCTTTGACCAATTCGAGTAAAAACCCCTGATCTAGATATATTAATTAACAACTTTTGATAACTGTTTAGAAATTGATTATTGTAATTATTTGTAATATTTTGATTTAATAAAAGTAATATGTTACAGTAAACTATTATAAACATTGAATGTAGTGTATTGATAATATGGGGTCTTTGCCTTGAAAATGACCTTACGGTACATGATACCGTAAGGTCATTTTCAAGGCAAAGACCCCATATACTAACAAAATATTGAATGCTGTATTATGTGTTATATTTAATGTTTAAACTCATTTTAGGCACTAATAAAAAATGTCATGAGAGCAATTTTGTCGATATCTATTGAGTATTCTCGCTGTATATAGGATCTGCTCCACTAGGATAATTAACCTGCTTGGTAGCTAGTGTTCCTGTTCACCTTATAATGGCGAGATCACAAGACAATGCACTTAGTGCATAACTAAACATTTATATAGAAGCAAGATGATCAATTGATGCAATTTTCCTGTTGCTAAGTTTTACAAATAAAACAATAAGGCAACGCACCAGAGGCGCGACAGGGATAATTTAGCATAATAAGTTATTTAGAGATTTAGAGTATTTTTATTAGAGTTAAGAGAATAACATAATTTGAAACCTGAAGATTAATTTCTACAACGGCGAAACCACAGAATTTTTATAGCTTTCTCTACTCTATAAACTCAAGAGGTTGACAAATTAACAACACAATTTATTCTCAAATAAACTTCTTAAAATTCGAGGATCCAATTTTAGGGAGGGTGCTTTCAAAAAATATTACATAATATTATTATATTGTAACCCCAAGCCTGCTTCAACACATACTCGTTCTTCGGATGTTCAGGCATTGTGTTTGTTTTTGGTTATGACTATAGTCAACTACTAGTTCAATGGGTGGCGCGAAGCGCCACCCATCTTATTTGTTTAATTAATTTCTGTTAAAGATTCTTTACAGAATTTATTATTTATTGCAATATACGCGATATATAATTAATTTTTAATAAATTTCATCGGAATTAGTTATTAATGTGGTTACAGTTGAGATTGTCAATTTATACCATAATTCGAAGTAAAAATTTCTATTATAGCACTTGCTATTCGATGATCACAGTATGTAGTCACAGTTAAGTTTATTGCATTAGAATTATTATTACAGTTAATCGCACGTTCTCTTGAAACACAATTGTTAAGGTGAATAGAATTAAACTTCATTCTCACCTTGGTAATTTATTGAACAATTGAATGATTATGGTTAATCAATGTCTTGTAACACAATCGTTAGAGTGAATCGAATTAAACTTCATACTCACACTGGTAATTTATTTGAATGTTTAAATGATTATGATTAATTACACGTTCACTTGAAGCACAATTGTTAAAGTGAATCGAATTAAACTTCGTACTCACCCTGGTAATTTATTGAACGATTGAATGATTATGATTAATCAATGTCTTGAAACACAGTTGTTAAAGCGAATCGAATTAAACTTCATACTCGCTCTGGTAATTTATTTGAACGATTAAATGATTATAGTTAATTACACACTCTCTTGAAATACAATGTTAAGCGAATCGAATTAAATTTTGTACTCACTCTGGTAATTTATTTGAATGATTGAATGATTACGGTTAATCTATGTCTTGAAATACAATCATTAAAGCAAATCAAATTAAACTTCATACTCACCCTGGTAATTTATTTGAACAATTAAATAATTATAGTTAACCACACGTTTTCTTGAAATACAATTGTTAAGGTGAATCGAATTAAACTTCATACTTACTCTAGTAATTTATTGAACAATTAAATGGTTATGGTTAATTACAGTTCTCTTGAAACACAGTCATTAAGGCAAATTGAATTAAATTTCATACTCATTTTGGTAATTTATTGAACGATTGAATGATTATTGTTAATCAATGTTTTAAAACACAATCATTAAAATGAATTAGTTTAAACTTTGTACTCACTCTGGTAATTTATTTAAACAATTAAATGATAAGGTTAATTATATATTCTCTTGAAATACAATCATTAAAGTGAATCAAATTAAATTTCATTCTCACCCTGGTAATTTATTTAAACGATTGAATGATTATGGTTAATCACACATTCTCTTGAAATACAAACATTAAAGCAAATCGAATTAATCTTTGTACTCATCCTGGTAATTTATTTGAATAATTGAATAATTATAGTTAATCACATGTTCTCTTGAAATGCAATAATTAAAGTAAATCGAATTAAACATTGTATACACCTTAGTAATTTATTGAATGATTGGATGAATAAGGTTAATTAATATTATGAAACACAATCATTAAAGTGAATTTAATTAAGCTTTATACACACTCTAGTAATTTATTTAAACTATTAAATGTTTATAGTTAATCACATGTTCTCTTGAAACACAATTGTTAAAGCGAATCGAATTAAATTTCATTCTCACCTTGGTGATTTATTTGAACAATTAATTAATCAATGTCTTGAAATATAATCATTAAAGTAAATCAATTAAACTTTGTATTCACACTTGTATTATTTGAATGATTGAATAATTATGGTTAATTAATGTCTTGAAATACAATCATTAAAGTGAATCAAATTAAACTTTGTTTTCACCCTGGTAATTTATTTGAACGATTGAATGATTGCAGTTAATTTATTTCTTGAAACACAATTGTTAAAGCAAATCGAATTAAATTTTATACTCACTCTGGTATTTTATTTAACAATTAAATGATTACAATTAATCTTAATCAATATCTTAAAACATATTCATTAAAGTGAATTGAGTTAAACTTATACTCATGTAGTTGACAAGGTCATAATTTCACAACAAAACGTAAAAAAGCTTTGCAATGAAATGGTACCAAATAGTTTCAAATCTATTGCAAAAATTCGTTACGAGCAATTAAATTCTCGCAGTTTTTGTCTTATTGGATGCTATGGCCGAAATGAACTTATTGTAAAGCTTTTGTTGAGCAAAAGTATTATTAACAATTCGACGTAAGTTTTCTTATAATAAATACTTTATTATCATCGAAACCGATGTAAATTTACGTCCTGGCATCTATCTTCAAAAACTTCCTTCTAACAATGAGGAGGATAGCTCTGGTAATTCTCGATTCTTACTTATTCATTGGAGTGAAGACGACTGTTATGAAAGTTCCGCATCATCACATAAAAAGAAAATTATGACTAATTTGCATAGGTATAAACAAAATTATTTTATATTAAATACTGCGTAAAATTTTTTAATCTTTTTTTTTTTTTTAAAAAATGGAAGATATCTTACCAAGCTTAGTAGTCATCAACTATGCTTGATGTCAGATAAAGATTTAGAATGTATTAACTGGCAAATGTTTGAGGATGAAGATGACGAAGGTGTAAGTTACAATTTTGAAGTTAAAAGAGTGATGAACAAAAGGAAAATTTTGAAATATTTCCTGGATTTTATGTGTGTAATTTTTAAGCCTAAAATTTAGTCTAAAATTATAATTATTCATACATTATCTAACTGCTAATGTTAAAAATATTAAATTAGGTTTATCATGAAAAACTAGCCATGAAATTCAATCCTAGCGAGCATAACGATAGCCCACAATTACACCCTTTAATAGTAGAATCTACTTTTAGTCCAATGTTGATAACACGAGAAATGTTACCAACATCAAAAACAGTGACTTCGGGTGTTGAAAAGTTTGATTCGGCAAACAAATTTCGTGAATATTTTCAAAAGAAACTTGAAACGAAAAAGTATTCACTTTTAATCGATCGTAATAAGGTTACAATGGCCAAACTAAAGATCATTATAAAGGATGGTTTAGAACTTCCTTATTTATTAACACCATATCTCGCTGATTTGACCACATTCGAAGAAAAAAAACTTGTTGAAGAAAATAAACTTAAGGAAATGTTCCAGGACGACATGAATGTTGTTAAGAAAATGGCGTTAATGATTTTAAAGAAAACTTATATGTATTAATATTAAATTACATTTAGTCATGCACTTTGATGTAGTATATAACAGATAATATACGTATAAATAATTTAATAAATTTATTCAAACTTATTATAGCATTTTTGAGACGTCTTACATATTCTGATCAAGAAGAAACTATTAGTGATGAAAGTAAGTCGTTTAGTATTATAAAGTCTTCAAAAATATGTAACTTTTTAATCTTTTATTATAATATGGTAAAACTTTAGCTATAAAAAGAATTAATCAAACATATGCCAAAATGCTAGCTGAGATTCATGAGGCTATAAATAACATCAGTCACACTCAATGGAATGATTATAAAACCCGATTCATCTTTGCCAAAAATTATGCTAAAGACAACTCAACTTTAAATTCAACCGTTGAAAATGACCATTCACAGTTATCTGCTGATATAGCTAATGAGCAGGGACTGAAAAATTTACCCCGATCACGAATATATTTCTAGATAATGAAAAAGATCTCAATTCTTTAATCATAAAATTTGCGGGTAATACTAAAAGTCAAGGTCTATTTAAGAGTTTGATGAATAGGATTAATTCAAATGTTGATGATACAATAAGGGAGGTGAAAAGCCAGGCAAAGAAAATTAATGACAATGAGTTTATACAAATTTTGAAAAATTATGGTGATAGCAATATTATCAATCAATTTAATGAAATTTATCATAATTGGAAAAGTTTAAAACTCCCGAACATTATTGATTCTATTATTCAGAGAAATGAACAAGAATTTAATCAAAAAAATGATCAAATATTTGAAACAAAACGTGATCAAATTTCAAACCAACATTTTATATCTATATGTGATCAAATTGAGTCCAAATATTCAACTGGAAATCTTTTAAAGATCATGGATATAGATGTTAATGGTACGTACGTTTTTTATTTCCTGTCTTTTTATCAGGTTGGTTGGTTGGTTAGTCATGGAGAATAGTGTCGCGGTCCCGTGATCTCCGACTGTTTCCGACACATTTGATCTATTTGATCCGAACTTCGGACTATTGTTATATCAAATAGGTCGGAAACGGTTGGCGATCACGGGACTATGACATTTTTCCATGACTAACCCATATCTTTTTATCTGCTCATCCAAACGTAAACGATACAACTACTGAACTAGTTAAATGTATTGATCACATGACTTTGAATCTTTATCTTAACTATTATAATTTATTTTATTCATTAATATAGAAGGAATCATTATTAACAAACGATACAAGCTATATCGGATAATTGAAATCCCAAAATTATCGTTATGCATCACTATTTATAATTGCCAATTAAGTCAGGCTGATACAATCAATTTATTTTCTACAGGGGGATCCCCAAAATTCCTGGTCGAAATGCGTCGATCCTTTAAAATTTAAAGAATTTTTAGAAACTTTAAGCAAATATTTCTCGATAAATATTTAACTAATTCCAGCAAACCTTTTTTTATTTTAATTCC